GAGAACAGTCTGGTGCTTCAGATCTGTAGACACTATAACAAAATTAAAGATAGCCCAAAGAGTGAACTTTGCCCCTTCAGAAGTGGAAGAGAAGCAGTTTTCCTCCTCCTGTTTGCTGAGGAGGATGTTTTTGCTCAGAGGATGACAAGATTTCAGCCTATAGTCACATATACTAGAAGAGTTTTTCAGGCAATTTTCCTCTTCAACTTCATATGACAAGATGAGAGAGAGAAAGAAATCAAGAACACATATCCAAGAAGCAAGAGAGAAGCTCTCTTTTTCTAGGAAAAAAATGGAACTGGGAAGTTGGCAGCAGCCTAAGCAAGGTGGACTAAACAGGGCCTGAGGAAAGGGACAGGACCAAGATTCAGAGCGCCAGTTTAGGAGAACAGATGTCTTTGGGGGACATCATCTACCTGGTGGGTCACAGTGATCAAGTGCAGCAGAAACATCTCCACCCCCTGGGACCTACCAAGGCTGTGCTACCAAAAGGAACTCTTGATCACATTTCCACTAAATTACAGAAAACATGAATTGCATTTGGCCTGGGCTAAAAAATGCCAGTAATCCCCGCAGATTCAGACGCAGGGAGAGAAACAGCCCTGAAAACAACATTAAAGATTTCTAGTCAAACACAGACCTGCGGAGCAGCGTGCAAATGCCCATGTCCTATCCAGATGGAGCCATAATGACGTTATTTATCTGAACACGGCATGAATTAATTGCTAGAGAAGAGGCATTCTCCAGAAGAGATTTAACACTGCTGGACACGCCCCCCTTGCAAAACTTTTCTTCGCGTGAGAGAAAAATCACCCGTTTGTGCTTTTCCACAGGGATGCAGCTGAAACAGGTCTGCAACAAGCACTTGGGTTCAGTTCAGGGCACAGATTTACCGAGCTACCAACGGGTAATTTGGTCAGTTCTGGCCATGTCCGTTCCCCCGAAGCGCAGGGCTGGGAGCTGGATCCCACCTGCCTGCTCCGTGGCGTCATGACCTGCACCAAGGGCTCCTGCTCCGCAGGGCTCCGCGCTTTGGAAGCGACAAGCACGAAGGGTGTGAAGAGGATGCGCCTCGTCCGCCTGTGCTTCGCTGGGCATGCTCTGACCGCGCTGGAAATGCTCTGCGACGCATCCTGGAAGCAAACCCTGCACCTGCATTTTCACTCCTGCAAAACAAAGATAGGCCAGCAGAGCTGAAGGGAAAACAAGCTTGGTCTTCACTGTCAACGTGGCAGTAGTGACCTCTAGTGACAAGTTACTCTTGGATACACGAGCACTTGTGAGAATAAACCTCCCTGGAAGCGCTGTCCATCGGAACCGTTCTGCTGGTGCGGGGGCTTTTTGCTGTCTGCTCCTTCCCTCCTGCATCACCTGGACCATCTGCCTCTTCGTTAAGGTACAGAGCAGTGGACAGGCAGCTCTTTCAATGCTGGACCCTGTTTTACAAGGTCTGGAGGCCTCTGGTCAGCCTCAACACTGTTGCACCAACCCCCTCCTGTGCTTTCTTTCCGGTCAAAACAACAGGACCAGGCTCGTTTTGGAGCTAAGGCTGCACAAGGCAGAGCCTCTTGATAGACCTTTTTGAAGGGAAAATGAGGAAATCTATCGAGAAGTGCAGCAATAAGGAAAAGACCCTGCTCCTCACAGCATCTGCTGCAGGAGCAGTATTCCCAGCTCATATTCTTCACAAGCGACACCTCTCGCTGAGATTTACAGAGATATTTCAATAAAACCCAGCATGGAGCCACCTCTCGCACTCCAAGACAGGCAGCTGCAGCCCGAGCTGTTCCACACGCGCTGCAAACAGAGGGTGCCAAACTCTGCTCCAGCAGCACGTGCTGAGGCCACCCCTGTGCAGGCCTGCTCCTAGCTGCCAGCTTCAGCTTCCAACACCACCACATTTCCCACAGGAAAAAAATAATAAGAGAAAATACACCATGATTCACAAAAAATGCTTTCCCCATATTTTGTTCGAGGGTCAACCTTCACCTGGAAGCTACACACACAAAGCACAAACACAGCAGCGAGCACTTGTGCACCAAGCAGGAGGAAAAAGGGCAGGTAGGGGAAAGCAGAAGGCTCCGTGTGCCAGAAAGCTGCTGGAGAAAGGGGCAACCAAACCCACACAGCATGTCTAGAAATGGAAAAGGCCAAAGGAGAACACGGGGCAGAACAGCCTCCAAGGAAAGGCCAGTTGAGCTGACACAGGACATTGTATCTGCACAGAAGTCAACCGCTGCACTTGAGCAACACGTTTAACAGCATAGAGGAAGCAGGAACTGAAAATAAAGTTTCAGCAAGACACCAAGTTCATAGCTATTGTCACATGAAGCACCAAGCTATAGAGGCAGAGGAATTGTTATCCATAGCTATAACAAGCTGGTGTTGGAGAAGCAGGGACACAACAAGAGCAAGCAGGGGGAGGAGATGGGGAAGAGCAAGAAACAAAGAAAGAAAAAAAGAAAATGCATCAACCAGCAAGTGACTTAAGTGGGGGAAACTTCTCCTTTGGATCCTCAAAGACACTTGCTCTGAAACACCAAGTATTTCTCAGGAGAAAGCAGAAGTCACGCTCATTTTGAGAAGGGAAAAAAGTCTCAACTGCTACCAAAGGTGACCACACATTACAAGCAGTAAGATAAGAAAAATCCAGGCGCGAGCATCCGTGTGAAGTTTTTATTTTAAAAAGGCCCAGAATTCCCAATTCCTCAAGCACATTAAGGAGCCTTGCACCATGCAGTCTCCCAGCTGATGGGGGCTGGTTCTCCCCGGCAGCCCAGGAAGCACCAGCAGGTCAGTGCGGGCTGAGGAGCTCCCCCTCGGCGCCGAGCTCAGAAGCTGCTTTTTTATTTTCCCAGATCTTTCCTCTTCAGGACACAGTATGACCAGAAACAAAACAGCCGTGCAGAGTCTTTCAGGAAGGTGATACAACATGAAAGAAATCTCCACTGGAAAAAATATCTTAAAAATATGAGTTCCAGAAGGTCTCCAACTGCTCAAGGTCAGATGCTCCTTCCTTGCAAAGGAAGATTAGCTTAGTTTAAGAACATGTCCAATCCTGTAATCAAGCCCGTATAATTAGGGAAAAAAAACACAATTGGAAAAGGGGGGCCCTGCAGGAACCAGTAGGAACAAGCCTTCCATCGAAATTATGCCCAGCACTTCATCATGAAGTTATACAACGTTCTTCCACAGAATGGAAAATTTCACTTCTTCAAACAATCTTTCCAGAGTTGTCAGTCACAATCTGTTAAAGATTTACCAATTTTCACATTAATCAGGACTTGTATGATGTTACAGCCATGCTATGACCTAATATAAGATTCAGGAGTATTTAAAAATTAACATTAAAATCATAATCTGGTTTCCACCAAAATACTTGTTTTGACCATAAAAAAAAAAAAAGTCAGTATTTCCCCATTTTTCTATAAGAAAAATAAAACAGATGATCTGCAACTTGGTAACAACAGTGTCCAACTTTTTTTTCCAAGACTCACTAAATCCTATGCCCACATCAAGACTCTTTTCACAGCAAGCTGATTCTTGCAACAAGGCTTTCCCATTTCAGGCTTATTGAGTTGTAAGGAGAGATCCAAGTCTTAGCTATTTTAGTGTAACATGTAGCTCCTGGGTTCAAATGAAGAGCCAGGTGATTCTTCTTTGGTATTTGCCCACAGGGAGAGGGAGTTTAAGTTGAATATTTTAAAAATAGTCACAGAAATGGTGCATCATTCTGCTTTCACTTGCATTAGCTCTCAGTACTAGCAGCATTTTGTGTACAGGACTGCAGTGTACTTCTGCCCTAACAAATGGGCAAGATGCTATTTCAGCACGCTTCTATGGGCCATTGTTGATAAGTAGGAAGAGTAATTATCTGGCAGCTGCAAAAACAGAATTGGAAAAAAAGAAAAAAACAAGTCATGCACCTTATTAAGATTACCCTTCACATTATAATTGTGACAGTCAGCCACTAATTCATTTCCATTAGATTTTTAGTTACAGTGGACAAGACTTGCTCTTTGAAAACAAGGATGCAGGTGGCATTTTACTTGGAGGCTAATTTCCTGGCTCTTTGAAGCAAGAAGCTGAGTGCGACATTAACATTCTGCTCTGTTCTTAGTTATTAAAACCCTTCTTTGTTACTAATACCTGAGCGCCTAGTTTGGAGAGGTATCTATTCCTCAAACTAAAGTCATCAGCTTTTGGCAGTAATTTAGCCAAGTCATCTTCATTTTGACGTCTGAGTCTCTCTTGTTCGTCTGCTCTGCAAAAGAAAATGGATTTAAGAGACCCGCACTGATTAGTGCAAACCCAAACCAGCTTTATCTTGTGTACATTTTCTAGTGTTTCTCATGTTTATAGATGAATAGTCAACATCAGGTTAAAAGACTAAAAACATGTCTAGATGATTCTACTTTGGTATAAAGAAAAAAAGAGGCTATTTTCTGAAGTTTGCTTTTATTTAGACTGTAATACTTCGGCACTTTTGTTTTCACAGATTACAACATGCTCAGTTTTCATAATAAAATTTATACTCTCCCTTTATTAAACAAGTTTTCATCCCTTAAAGTGTATGAAGGCATTACAAAAAGAAGCTGTTGCCAAAAACAAATAAAAGACTGCTCAGCAGTCTTCAGAGTTGATAGTCTTCTACAAAAGTCAATATTTGACTAGATAGTTATTGCTTATTTTTCGCCAAGTCTTAAAGAGAAACAAGCCTGAACGAACCCCAGATATGTTTAACTTAAGACATTGGTTTGCATTAAGCTTTGCATTAAGTGACAAAGGCAGTAAACACAGTGACCCGTTTCAAAGTTCTGGAAGGCAGCGACCCTCAAAGTACATAACATGCTTTTATATTAGTAAACCTCTACTCCCACCAAAATAACATTTTGTTCTGTATAACAACAACATTTTTGATTTTATTTTAAGACAAAGTTTGCTTCAGGCTGCAGAGTACCTTCTCCAGTGACTGAGCTTAAACAGTGTAAAACGTTATAAACCAATTTTGTGCAAATATTAAGAAAAACAGATCTGGCATTAATTAAAACCGGTTACAAAGCATGAAATTTAACCATTTACTGTAAAATCCTCAGCGTGTTAGTCTCCTTTCCAAAAAACTACTGTCCACAACTAACCACCAAACTAAAAAACATCATATTTCTTCAGGTTGACTTGTTGCTGATCAAATGCTCCCCACTTCTGGATGATATTTGCTATTCAACTTTCTTTTCTGCAAAAAACATCGTAATGAAAATGACTAGAAGTAATGCTCCAGGGCACTCTACCCCATAGCATTCCCTACCACAAAACCATCCTTGACTAAATACTGGATGTGTTGTGCACCCCACAGATACCAGGCAGATTAAAAACAGCAACTGTTTGGACATGGAATTCCTTTACTCCTAGATACAAGGATGTGGTTTTTCTTAAGTTTGGTATCACACATGGGCAATTATACAGTCTAATTCTAGAATAGTCTAGAAAATTCATTTATAAAAGATGTCTAGCTTTTAATATGACACTTCACAATTAGTCTGCTTAGCTACTTCAGGTTAACTCTTTCATAAGAACATGGTTCTCTAATGTTCTTTATACTTACTCAGTTGCAGTTACTTTTTGCATTTTTTCCCTTTTCTTTGCAGACCAGTTAAGATCACCTCCTGCAAGAGGAGCCCATAAAACAGTTAGAAACCTTTGCTGGCACTCAAATGCTCACCTGCTAGAATATCACAAATCCAGAGCAGCCAACTAACTTCAAAAAGCAAAAGCCACAGAGAAAAATGAAGAAATTCAGGAACTAAGCAAGGCTGAAATTAAATTAGAAGTTCTGTCACAGATTAACTGAACAGATCTTTTTTTCCCCTCATTTGGGAGTTACTTTTAGTCAATAGAAATGGTGCATGTTTCGTGGTTTCAGTGCACCTCTCTGGCTCGCACAACTGCACATTATCAGCAAGTGAACCAAGTGTAACAAGGATTTATTTCCCAACACTCAACTTCACCACTGTAGCTTAAGTGAATAATATGAGGTTTAAAAAAAAAAAAAAGAAAAAAAAAGAAATGAACTAAGATTGCAGCTAACCGAAGATCTACAGAAACAAGGTTTTATATTTGCAGGTATGTATACAAATTTGCCAAGCAGCTGGGAGCAATTTGAAGTTATCTGCTGAACATCCTAGGTGTTCATTCAAGTTAGCTGAAAGGACAGGTGAAGCACAGATTTAGCATCCTGGTAAGGTTCAGGGACACTGGTGACACCGGTGTGTCTAGGAAAAAAACAATTATGAGGAAAGTTCTCACCCAATAACTGCTGCTGCTACCAAATCCATGAGCTATAGCATCTGACAGGGGGCTGCTCAACCATAAGCTGCTCAGCTTAATAACTTTAAGAATCATGATCAAAGACAAACATCTAGAGAAGGCAAAAACACTTTACCTATGAGATGATTCACAAAATACAGCATCACTACAGCTATTAGCGACACTAAAAAAAAAAGTTGACAATGACATAAGAACATACAATGAGCAATGAACAAGATTCTTCTAAAAACAAGGCAGATTTTTGCCAGAATCACTTAATCAGCTTTGAAAACTGCACTACCCTCACCAGTAGTAAAACCAAAATAACTTTGAGTACCTTGTTTATACTAGTAAAAGTGATCTATAAATATAGCCTTTTAAGGGATAATTTAGCTATCCTATTATTCACTCTTCATTTTTTGAATACTCAAACTACTTATGTCTCTTCAAAAACACGAAATACCTCACTAGGATGAGTTACCCTCAAAACTACTCCAGTCAAAACTTCTACCCAAATACACATTAACAGGTAGTTCCTTTAACATGTTCTGTAAAATGGCAGTAAAAGCTTAATAAATTCTCCTGAAGGCACAGAAACTGTTTTTCAAGGCTTTTGGTACTTACAGCAGACACAAGCACTGAAGAACACTTCAAGAAACAGATATCCTCTTGTGTCCAGTATCATGCCAGCTGCTATGGCAATGATTGCCAGACCCAGATTCTGGATAGACTGCATGCTAACACACAAACAAAGGGTTATCACTATAGGGTTTTTATTTTAGTTTATCTTAAAGAAAAAAAATAGTGGCAATGAACAAATTTAACCTCTTCCCAAATGTTATACAACTTCACTCATGACTCCATGTATTTGCAGATGTTTCTAGGCATGCACCAGAACCATCGTCTATCACACATACATCCTGAAACTACATAAGATTTCCTGTTACTACGAACTCTGCAGAAGTTGTTAGCCATTAATTTAGTAGAACTGCTCAAAATTCAGTAGTCCTGCAGGATAAAGAGACACATAAGGACTTACAAGCCATAAGCAGTTCCCAGCTGATGTTCTGGAACTACAAAGGCCACCATGGGCCACAGGGCACAGGCCAGCAGAGAGTAAGCCACTCCCAGTAAACACTGTTGAAACAAGAACAAGCAAACAGGTATTAGGTGCAGTCCTTTCTTTTGTGGGTGAAGTTTTAAACAAACTTATTTTCCTCCTCAAAAAAGAGCAAAGAGTATAATACCATGCTAAATACTTATGCACAAAGTAACTTTTCCCAGGCTTATCTGGGATCATATCATCAAGAAGATCATTTAAACAAAACAACCTCTTCCCTCAAGCCAATTAATCAAGCCAGATTAATTCGGTCCCATCATAAAACATGATATGCCATGATACCTCTATTAAAAGCTCTCAACTCAGGGGGGAAGGGGAGGAACACATAGAAATCTATTACAGCCAAGAATTTTTGCAATCAAGGATCATATACAAAAAAACATACACACAAGAAACACTGCATGCACACTCTACAGAAATCCTATAAACATTTGAATTAATGCATTTTTCCCCCACGCATTTTAATATCCAAAAGCAAAATGATCCAAGAACCACAGGCTCTATAATAGGCGTCAAAAGAAAGAAAATGAGCCTGACATTAATATCAAGAGCAAGATCATCAGTACTGAATTCCATTAGGGAAAAAATATGAAAATAAACACCCTATTTTTAACCCTCATACATACTGAGCACCAGCTTTAAACCTGTAAACCCAAGTTCCAAAGACATTTCTCTTAAAATCTGCCCTGGGAAGGGGAGACAAAGAGATCTTTCCTGAGGTGTATCACATCATCCAATACAGTACATTAGAGCCCACTTAATATTGTTAGTTTATATTAATAAACTACATCATGTAATAAGATTCATAAGAAAAGTGAGCAACTAGCACAGTAATCTAGTCATAGTTCCTGTGAAGGGAGACACCGAAGAGCTTGAAGGCAGAGCTCTGAAACCAAACACCATCTAATTGCAGAGATGGTGGCAAAATAAGATCTTCCCTGAACAGGCAAGAAGTTGCCACATTTAATCCCACACTTCCTAGGAAGCTGAATAGCCTTTATTTTCTGCACTGAACAATTACAGAATCACTGCTATGGAGAACAGCACATGAACAGTCATCACTCCAAAATGTGCATTTACTGCTACCCACTAAGAAATACCAAAAAACAAAATGTCATCTTCAGGTCACACACAGTTCATCATGGCAGCTTAGTCTCTTACACACACTTTGCTTACATATTAGTCAAAAATCTCCCAAATAGCTTCTGAGGACTAGCTAAAGTCAGAAGATGGAGGCAACACATGGAGAAGGATGTATCAACTCACATTTCTTATTTTATCATATTGAGTTATATAGTCTCTTAAGAAAAATCAGTTACCATTGCTACCCAGGGGTTCCAGAAGGTAAAAGCCAACATGATGTGAGAAGCGAGTGTAGTTATTACAGCACATAAAACCCAGATGATATTCTTTCCAACTTTATCTACCAGGAGTCCAAAAACAGGGGACAAGGGTGCCGATATGATATAAACTATACTGCAAAAGAGTAAGAGAACTGAATATTAGTTTCAGCCAGTTTTGTTTTCCAAAATACAAATACCACCATATAAAATGTCAAATTCCTCTGCTGCTTATGAAGTCTTAACCAAACAAAAACCTCAAAACAAAAGAGAAGTCAAAAATTCAGAGGTCTGAGGACGTCAAAACGCTCAGTATCCAGTACAGAAAAACTGATACATTTAAAAGATTTGATCCAAAGATCCCAAGAGTTTTATATTTTACCATATCACAGGTTCATCCCCAAACGAGGAAAATGTCATTTAGTGTTGCTATTAAACTCCTCCTACTGCTCTGAACAGAATCACCAGATGTCAAAATACCCTTGAGGCAGAACTCACCTTTCTGATTTTTCGGCATGAAGATCTAAGATTTACTTTTTTACTTAAACACTATTTCTGTGTTATTTCTCAGGCCATGGGATGCTTTTCTATGCACCTAAATGCAAGCCATCTTCAACAGTAGATTCCCAACTTTCAGAGCTCAGACACCTATACTTATCAAAACACAGCTGCACATTAACTTGCTAAATCAACCTCAAAATACCTGTTAATTGCACTTGCTTCTTGAGATGAGAATTTGAATTTCTCGATGAAGAAAACCCTAAGGATAAAAAAACCTGTAAGTTTAGAACAACTCACACTTGCATGAAAAAAAATTAACATCCTGGTTTGCAGACTACTTTTAAATACAGCTTTGAGTGACATCTGCCACTTCCCAAGAACAGATCCTAATTTGTAAGACACTCAGGAATTTCTTCATATCACCTTTTCCCAAAGGACTGTTCAGATTGCATTTTGGGGAAGCCAGTCAAAGGATGCAGCTAGAGCATAACTGAGTAATAAGACATTAGCAACAAAAATACTGTACAGGACCAAAGTGAGGCTGTTCAGAACACATATAAGAGCAGAAAACAGGCATACGTATTAGCCTGGAGATGTCTTACAGTCAGCAAGCTCAAACTCTCCTTCTCACTCCGTATGCACTCAATTATCTTGAGAGCTGTCCCCAGCCCAAGAACATTCAAAACACTTGATTGATCTATTATTAGTTCAAGTCATGAATTTTATTAGAAAAACCTACAGAAGAGCTTCAAGTTTCAACTTTAATATATATTAAAATCAGTACATTGAAAGAACGCCAGCCCAAAGCTGCAATCACATTCACTTAAACCCCCACCTCATACTCATTCAACAGGGTATGAGTACAGAAGAAATTCTGCATGGCAGCTACCCACAGCTTTCTGCACCGAAATGTGGCATGTTTTTGATCTGCATCAAGATTTAATCAAGCAATGGAAAGTGCACTATGCTTTAGTGTTCTGACTACTGTGCTGAGCAGTGGCATTTCCCACAAAGCTCAGCAGGTAAGGAAACCATAATACTACAATTACGTGTCAAGTATTCCTCATCAGTGCCACAGAAAAGAGTGACAAGCCCTAGCATAGACCTGCTAGGAGATGAGTTGTTCTGTAGCTACCTGGAATATTTAAATATTAGCCAAAAATCTCTCCCCTTTTAAGTAACACTACAACTGGTTAAGCCCTGGCCAGATTCAAAGGGAACAGCCACATTTTAGCAAGAGATACTCACTTTCCAAGTCCAATGAAAGGAAAAACAGCTGCGTAGTAACAGACACAGATTACAAATATAAGCCACAAAGATAAAGAGAAGTCCTTCACATCCGTGAGCTTGATCACTTCACCTGGAGTGAAAGACAACATTGCTTCAGTCAGCATAAACAAACCAACAATTCATCTATCCTGAAGAAGCACTAGGTTAAGAAAGAGTCCCTAATAAAGCATCCAAGAGTGTAGATGATGGCTGGACTGTGTGAAGTTTACACTGTGAGACTCTATTAAGAACACACATAGCCTAGGTCGACAATGCTGAAGTCGAGAATCAACTTGTCTCCCCCATATTAAGCCAAATGGGCATTTTAAAACAAATTATCTAAAAAAATCTCGGAAAATCTTATGCAGTGGAATTAAATACAAACAGCTTTCTCAAGGAAAGATTTGATCAGCTAGTGAAATCCCTGTCTGAAGCCCCAAGTTATACAGTCTTGGTTCTCAAGTTTAGTTCATTTTTCACTGCTCTTACTACTCCCACCCAGAAAACTCAAAACTCTACACATTGTTCAGGAAATACTACATATTTTTGTACACTTAAAGGAAACAAGACTGACTCCAGCAAAACAGTCCTGGTGACAATGGCATAGAACAAGTCAGTGCAAATGAAAACGTGCTAGTTTTCAGCGTGATAAAACAGATTACACATCTGTCTGTATGTAAAACAGTCTTAAAACTATAAAACTTCTTACCGATGAAGAAAGAACTAAGAATTATGATTAAAACTATGGCTGTGAAACCAAGGTGTTAAGCATATGAGCCTGCACAGAGTATCAACCTGATTGGACTGAATAAAACACAGAAAACAGAATTGGTCAGAATAAAACACATCCCAGAATACAGCTAGCCTTTCCATCCATCCTACTCACCAGTTTTCCCTTGCTCTTTACAAAGCAGCTTCTCTGCTCTCTTGTCCAGATAAGCAAGTATTAATGCACAAGCCAGGGAAAACAGACATGTTGCGCCACCTGCAAAAAGACAATGTGACATGTTTACTTGATGTCCCAAATAGTAAAACTGCTCAAGTACAGTGTAGTATATCTCATATCTTGATATATCCAATTAGCATATCCAATACTAACTCAGTCTGTATACTCACACTTGTTTGTCATACACACGAGATTCAACAGCTGTACAGCTCAGAGCTGTAAATGTTTAAGGCTACAGTCCTCTTCAGGTCTGATCTGCCTTGAATTAGAACTACTGTTTATTTCAAAATATTAAGGAGTCTGGCTGTGCTGGGCAGCATTATCTGCACCTTGTAATAATAACGGCTCAGCTTGGTTTCTGCCAGTGCCTTCATGCCCATGCTCAGACAGAAGGGACACTAACCCAAAGGGAGCTGGAATTTCACTTTTAGACATAACAGCACACAAGCTTTTACACAATATTCTTCAATAATGTTTTCAAGCCTGTCGTAACAGACTTGACCAATCTTACTGTCGAGTATGTTTGCTCAACATCAAGTGTTTCAGCTCCATAAGAAGTTCAAGTTTCTATCTTACAACGACAGAAACCACACAGTATTATCAGAAACAATAATCTTACACCACGCATCCTGACAGCTCGTGACATAACATTAAGCACTGATAGTGTCCAAGTTGTTCTTCCCAGTCCCAAGCACTCACCGTTTTCTTGCATTCTAGATGACAAGTCAATAGCATACAATATGCATTATTGTCCAGGATGAAACCCAAAACACCAGGTGTGACAACAACTGAAGTACACTACTAACCTATCATGAGAGTTAATCCAAGAGTACTGTGGCCAGTATGCCCCAGAAGATCCTGAACTCTGGAGTATATCCATCCCATGATATTCATGTTCACCGTGCTTCCCTGGGCAGAACAAACATACGTGAATGACAACACATTTTACAATATGAATTCAAAATGGCACAACTAAGTGCAGTCACACATCTGGCAAAAGGGGCAAAACCAAAACAATAAAATAAAACAGACAAGCTTCTTACAAAAGCACAGCAATAACAGATAAAGGTGGTGATTTCTTAAAGTGGCCATCCCAGCTCACTTATCAGAAGTTGCATTTAAGTCTCAGAGCCACAAGCTGCACTCAGATAAGCCAATGTCCACACACATCAAGCATTCGTATCAAACTTTTAATATTTAAGTTCATTTTCCCCTAAAGAGCTTCCTAGTGAGCCTTAGTAATACTACTTTCCACCTATCTCACTGCTAAACCAAGCCAACACCAGAAATAAAAAGAATAAAGATATAAAGCTTTAAACTTACAATTCTGGCCATGCTTAGCTGTAATCCAAATACAAGATTTAATTCCTTGCCTTTAAACCAACTGACTGCGTAAGTGTTTTGTGCCACAGCTAAGGACTCTCCACCTATTCTGGAAAAAGGAGAAGCAAAACATGTTAATTGCAACACTCAAAGCAACAAGGAAGCAATCCTGCTTGCTGGCATTACCAAGATGACGTTATTTCAGAGCACTTTCTGTATGTACAGGTAACCTATTGCATATAGTCTAGTGAGACTAGAAACTCACTTTTATTTGGGTAATTTCATATTTCCCATAGTCATTAAACAGGCTTCCAAACTAAAGAATGAACTGCTATGATCCATTTGCTTTCTAACATTACATTAGACTGGGGGGAGCGCAACTGAAACCTTCTGCATATCTCAGTTTTGAAGACACTCCAATATTTAAGAGCTTTGCCTTTGAAAGTACAAACATAGGGGCAGCTTTCCAGGACACAAAAAGCTGGCCCTTCCCCCAGAGGACACACACTACATTCACCTAGACTCACCCAAACACAAATCTGCCTGCTTCCATCAGCCAGAAGGCATTAATTAGTGCTCCCACAGCAAAAATCACCTGCGAGACAAGCACATGGGAGAAACGATCATTTCACACTGGAAGTACAAAATGAACAAGTCTCAGAACCGCTAAAAACGCTTTCCCTTTCCTTGACCCAAGGGAATATTTTACACCCACTTCCTGCTTGTGGCCTTTGCCCTTAGCTCCCTCTGCCTTACGCCTCATCCCAGCCAGCTACACAATATCCAACCTGGTCCACCCCGAAGCTGCACTCGGAAAACATCTCTAGGTGCCAGTCATGCCCTCACCCTCATTGCCACCCTCATGTACTGTGTGCAGGGCTGCTCTGGCCCCTGTCCCCAGCCACTCCTGTGCCCTACAAGGTCCAAACAGAGACAGACAGGCAGGTCATCAACCTTCATCCGAGGCCAGCAGAGGTACACAGGCGCAGTCCAGCCTACCTGAGCTGGATAAAGGCTAAATTCCTATGTTATGTGAAAATATAAGCAGATAATTTGAGATAAATTTACAGGCCAGGTGTTAGTCATGCCCAGGACTCAGGAACTGGGCAAGGCAGCCAATATAAAGCACATGACTACAGAAGAAGACATCCTTGCACAGTTGCATATCTGCCAAAGAGTCCTAGTAACATGATTATGCCACTTCTATACTAATGAAAGATTTTATTTAAATAACAGGCATAGGCACATGCTGGGAAGGAAGGTCACCCTGGGTCAGGGTTCTCCCCCATCTGTTCTCTTCCCTGCTTCCTCCCACCTGAAACACACACCACAGAGAAACAGCCTCTTTTGTTCTTTTCAGAGATATTTCAAACATATTACCCTTCAGCCTCCCATTTGCACTTACCTGCCCAACACAAACAAAGATACTAAATATTATTGTGCCCAACCTGGAAGAAAAAGAGATGATTTAATGAACCATAGAATGCGTAAGGTAAAAGCTAAACATATCTGTTTTCCTATACAACACAGTATTAGATCCACATCAAGGAACACAAGGAAGGACAACACACAATGCAAGCTCTCCCTAACAAGGGCCACTGCTTCATCACAAATACACTGCAGAGACTAGCAATAACTTTACTGGAGCTATAAAAAGAAGAAAGCTTATTTATACCCCTGGAAATTTCTACATCATGTGAAAAGTCTTTGAAAACCTGTGTAACATTTATAAGGTTTTGACTGCCAAATCACAAAATAGATTCACTTATTTAATGTGATCTTCAATGTTACATTAATCGGAAGGATGCAGTTCTGTTATGAGTTAGTAACATTAGTTACTAACTGACATTAGTTTTGAAGAACACAAACTGATGTTAGTGTTGAAGAACACAAACAGCACTGGCCCACAATAAGCACAAACCATTAGCCTGCAATCCACATCTAAAACAGACGTGTGCTGAAACACCTAAGGCCTCCCAGCCAAAAAGCTGCAATTCACTGAGTATTTCCATGTACTTACTAAAATACCCTGAATATTCTAATTGCAGCTCCAATTTATGTAAAGTTTATTAGCACTTGCATTACAAAACAAACAGGGTAACCCTGAGGAAGCTTCAGGCAAAGAAGGGATCTTTATGTGCCCCATTTCCCAAGTATTTGCTGGAGAAGCACGTTTTTCGCTTACAGCTTCACAGAAAGGCAGGGGAAGCTCCTGCTCTGCCACAGGTCGCATGTCTCTCCATCAGCAGGGAGAAACCAAGCAGAGACCCCCCGGGGGCCTCGCAGCCCTTGGGGCGACGCCGCTCCCGGCCACTTACCGGATCCCAAACACCCGGTCGATGAGGAAGCCGCCGAAGAAGCAGAGAACCACGTTGGGCCAGGAGTACCAGGCGTAGAGAGCCATGAACTGGGCCGTGTTCACCTTCATGTCCTGTAGAGAAGGAGAGGGGGATAAGACTTTAAAAAGGGAAATGAGAGAAAAGAAGGGAGCAAGAGAGCTGTTATTGCTGGTGAGGACACAGGATGGCCGCAGAAGGCTACTCACCGCCTGCACTTGCGTCTGCAGGGCCGCCGGGTTGTCGTAGCAGAAGTAGCTGCCTGCAAGGACAAGCAG